TCCTCCCCATCTCTGTCTTCCCCTTATCCTGAGATTACACCCTCTGGTCCTAGAGGGCGGTTATGAAGGCGTTTAGTATGCTTGCCTTTATTGCTCAGACCTTTGACTATAGGAGTTGGGACATTATGTTCAGGTTGTACAGGACGTTGGTGAGGCCTCTTCTGGAGCACTGTGTCCAGTTCTGGTTGAAGGATATTATTAAACTGGAAAAGGTTCAGCCAAGATTTATCAGGACGTTGCTGGGAATGGAGGGTGTGGGTGGGTTGTAAGGAGAGACTGGTTGGGAACTGGAATTTTTTTCCATTGGAGCAAAGGGCGTTAAGGGGTGACTTCATAGAGGTTTATAAAATCATGAAGGGTTTAGATAAGGTGAATAGCAAAGGTCTTTTCCTAAGAGTGGGGGATGTCAGACTACGGAGCATATATTTAAGGTGAGAGGAGAAAAATAGAAAAAGGACATGACGGGCATTTTTTTTAAATAGAGGGTATGGTAGGAACTTACAGAGGAAGTGGTGAATGTGGGTACAATTACAACATTTAAAAGACATTTAGATAAGTACATGAATAAGAAGTATTTGGAGGTATTTGGGCCAAGTGCAGACAGGTGGGACATGTTTAGTTTGGGATTATGGTTGGCATGGACTGGTTGGAATGAAGCGTCTGTTTCCATGCTATATGACTCTGTAAGTGTCTGAGAATCTAGCATGTTTCAATAAGGATGCCTCTCATTCTTCTAAACTCCAATGAGTACAGACCCGACTGACACAACCTCTCCTCATAAGACAGTCTCTCTATACCCGTGATCATGAGTGAACCTTCTCTGGACTGCCACCAGTGGCCAATCTATCTCTGCTTGGATACGGGGCCCCAGAAGAGTATTCTCGCCAGTTTGACCAGTGCCTTGCAGTTTTAGCAAAACCTCCGCACTTCTATGCTCTTTCGAGTGAAGGCGAACATTCCTTTCATTCTGATAAAAAGCTACCAAACGTTAACTCTGTTTCTCTCTCCACAGATGAGTTTCTCCAGCGATTTCAGTTTTTGTTTCAGATCTCCAGCAGTTCTTTTTTGTTTTACAGCATTGGCCTTCGCTGTCGCCCTCTCATGGACTTTCCCACACCGCCTTAATAATTTAAGTGGAAATATTCCGGCGATGTGTTGTCATTTGTGGAGAGTGAAACAGATTTCACTTCCGAGGCCAGCGACATTCCGTCAGCTGGTGAAACTGAGATGAGGAACTGATGTTCTGGCTTCGATTTCCGAATTGCAACTTTACTGGAGAAGTTCCTCATTCACTCAACAACTGTACAACAGTAACCAATATAGCATCTTTGACATGGTGATATGCTGCTCCCTGCCCCTTTCTAACCACTTGCAAACTATCTTTTTGAATGATTCGTGCTACATCCTCGGCCCCTTACTGTACTCCGTGCGTGCTCACAACTTGCGTGGCCAACTTTTATTCTAACTCCATCTACAAATTCGGTGACGACAGCGCATTTGCAGATCTCAAAACAACGATGAGACAGAATACAGGAAAGAGATAGAGTGCTTGGTGGCATGGTGCAAACATCACAGTCTTTTCCTCGATGTCAGCAAAATGAAAGAGCTGGTTATCGACTTCAGGAAACAAGATGGAGGGCAGCCCAAATCTACGTCAATGGAGCTGAGGTGGAGGTGGTCAAGTTCCTGGCAGTGACCAATAACCTGTCCTGGTCCATCCACGTTGATGCGATGGTCAAGGAAGCACACCAATACCTCTACTACCTCAGGAGGCTACGGAAATTCAGCACATCCATAAGGATCCTCACCAACCTTTACAGATACACTACAGAAAGCATCCGATCTGGATACATCATAGCATAGTATGGCAACTCTCTTCCCAAGGTTGTAAAAAAGCTACAGAGAGTTGTGAACGCAGACCAGAATATCATGCAAGCCTTCCATCCATTGACTCCATTAATACTTCCCACTGTCTCAGGAAGGCAGCCAACATCACGAAAGACCCCTCCCACCCCAATTATAATCTATTCCAACCTCTACAATCAGGCAGACGCTGCAAAGCCTTGTACACAGACACCGACAGATTCAAGAACAGCTTCTTCCCCGCTGTTATGAGACTTCTGAGTGGACCTCTCAAATTTTAAATTTAATGTTGATCTCGCTCTCTGTCCACCTTCTCTGCAGCCCTAACATTGTATTCCTAGCTCTGTTCTAGTGCTCTAATGCATTTTGTGTGGTATGAGCCGCCTGTAATGCACGCAAAACAAAACTTTTCACTGCACCTACGTACATGCGATAATAATAAATCAATTTCAAAAGAAAATTCAAATCAAAAAGTCCTTTCAAGTCCATCTAAGAATCTTGTCCGTTTCAATAAGGTCACCTCTCATTCTTCTAAAGGCCCTGACCGATTCAACCTCTTCTCATTAAGACAGTCCCTCCATCCCCGGAATCAGCCAAATGAGCCTTCTTTGGGCTGTCTCCAATACCAGAAATTGGATTCTCCCAGACAACAACAAGTAAAATGATGGATTTCTCCTGTTCAGTCCAACAATGGAATAGCGCGAATGTTGGCCACAGGGTGGGAGCTTATGGGGAGTGTAGATGGAGCACATGGACTGCAACTCACCCTCACCTTCTTGAGGGCAACAGGGATGGGACGACAAATGCCAGGCCGAGACGCTCGTGTCCCGAGAGCAAATGGAATCAAAGACCGCACTGCAATGCCACCTCCAGGGGAAGAGCCGCTGGCTCCCTCCTAGGCCTGAAGAGTCACATTGGCCTGGAAATGTTAATTCTGATTCTCTCTCCAACCACGCTGGCTGAACCTGGAGTTTCATCTTGCTAACGTTGCCAGATTCACACCCTGAGCTCTCTCTCTCCCCTGGGAAGTGTTTGAACCACGTTGATGTGCTGATTTGAAAGAAGGCCGGCGGGGGGAAGGCGGGGG